ATCTTCTAAAATATGCGACGCTTTTTTCTTCAAATTCTTTTAGATTATTGTTAAATATCGGTATATTCATCTGATAACAGTTCCTACTGTTATCTAAATATATTGCAGTTACAATACATAAAAATTATCAATATTTAAAAGCATGCAATTCACGTATTAGTTGAAATCAGTTGATGCGCATGCGGTTTTCGTATAAAATTTTAATTTAGCGGCCATAGTGTGCCGCTCGATACACTTTACTATGCAAAAACGCTAAAAATGGCTAAAAATCACGCAACGTGCATACGATTTTTATGCGCATCCGATTTCAGTAATATCCTATGAAAATACACAAAAGGACACCTTTTTTAAAAGGATCGGTTAAGAACCGCGGATGTGCCTCCACAATCGATTTTGGACAAAATACGCATATTATTCACGTATCGATATATTTTTGACCTATTTTCACACAGATTCGCAAATATGATAACACAAGAACGAATGTAAGTGAAATCAATTCGAAGAAAAACTCGATTATATACGCGAATTTGTCAAAATAAGTTTTTGCAGTTTTTCCCACATTCAAGGTACCTATATCGGCCGTTTTATTGGGCGGAATTAAACATGGATGGGCTCATTAGATCCGGCACGTAAAAAAATTAAAATCACGCGGGGTTCCACGGAATTTGAATGGACTTTCTTAATTTTAGACTCAAAAAATATGTTTTTTTATAAAAATTTACGCACCAAATTTTCGTCTTTGGAACCCAATTGCAAAGAAGCTACGGTGAGCACATTCATGAGATATACACTAAACGAAGCAAAATCACGAGTTCTACAATCCTATAATTAGTTTAGTCCATTATCTGGATGCACAACCTAATTATAAGAAAAAATCAAAAAACACCGAAAATCCGGCTTCAAAATGTCAGCATCCTTTTTGGGTGGATGCAGTGATTATATCGAAAAATCATACATTAGAATCATATTGTCCATGGGGTATTCTGCAACTTAGTCACTGATCACATGTGCGTGCGTTGTGTAGTTTAGCCACAAATCAGGAACGAACACAAAAAAACTCGTTGGCTTCAACACATTTCCACTCATTTTTTTATATTATCACCATCACAGCTTCCACGCAACTTATTATTTATTACCAATATTTTAAGATTTTGACAAATGTTTGTGCGTCATGGTGATGTAATCATAACTTATTTTTGTAGAATTATTTAATTTTTTATATTTTTGTGTGAAGTTTATCCAGATTGTCTCTAATTTGTAAAAACATTAGCACAGTCTCTTTTGGAATTGAATGAAATTATTTTGCATTGTATACTAGCCAAACAGACGACATCCTTAATTCAGATTATCTTGTAAATTATGCGCATTTTTATACCTTTTATTAGACAGTTGTGCATATGGGCATTTCCTTTGTGCATATGGACATTTCCGGCAGAATATAAACCAATGCCATATAATTTTTCTTTAATTGCACTTAAATACATGAAACAACTGCAAAATTGTAAAAAAGCCACATCGTGAGTGAACGAGAAAAATCCTTTGCAAAAAAGCACCGATCCTATTTTGAAAATGTGAAAGTGCAAATGCTTGATATTTCATATTTATGAAAAGGATAAACATGTTCTCACAATCGCCAGAGTTTTCCAATTATTAACAATAATGTCTAACGCATGTATATTTGAAGCCGCGTGAGTAACCGCTCTTTTGTGATTTTATTTCAAAAGATTACATCCGGAGGCTCTCAATTTTTTTACCACTGATAGTACTCCAAAAGTACTACTAATTGCAAAGAATGTAACTGTATTTGATTTATTTAACATTTAAAGTTTTATTTTGCCTCAGATAGTCGTGAAAGTGGCCGCGGAACTGCACATATGTTTGTAATAGACAAAATACTAAACTTGCAGGCATAGATTTCCATGTAAGATGTCTGAATTTTTCTCATTGTACTTGTAGAGATTTTTTCAGAGTTGGATGCTTGAAATGTTATGACTTCTAATCAGGGACGTACGCAGGGGGGGAGCCCTGGGGGCCCGGGTCCCCCCCGAAATGAATTTTTTTCACAGTAAATGTATGTTTGCAACAGCGAATTTTTTCATTTTGCACTACTATTCAGAAAAAAATTCAAATTAAAATAGAATTCTGCTCGGGTAGCCCAATTTTCCACCTGTCCATAGGACAAAGTCTTAAATCCCCGGCCGAAGGCCGTCTATTCCGAAAGTACGAAGTTCTCAAAAAAAATTATGTGGTTGTAATAAACCAAAAGGACTATGTGCTGTAAAAAAATTAAACGTTTCGGAGTGGTATTCTTAAATATATTTAATAAAAAGTGGGGGTATTTTTTGAACTTTGGAACCCCATATCTCGGGAAGTACTAATTTTCCCCCGAAAAAAATTATGTTGCTGTAATCAGCATCGGAAGGGCTACCTATGGTAAAAATTTCAAAATTATCTGAGATGTATCCGTAAAGTGCATTTGTTCCAAATTTTCGGCTTGTTCGTTTCTCAGTTTTGTGCATCCACAGCAGATAATTGAGTATTTCCACTATTTTAGATTGAGTAATATTGAGAAAAATATTTTTAATTTGTGTATAAACAGCAAATTATCTAATTTGATCAAATTTCGCACTTTTTCAAAATAAATTGGAATCAACCTCACATTGTTGATCAATTTTATTGCGCTCCATAACCTTTTTTTAAAATATTAATATTTTGTGATAAAATACGTGTCTGTGTATTAAAAAGTGTTTTATACTATTTTTGTGCATATTGTACTAATAGGTGTGGTGAAATCCTTTTGATTAGTGCTAAAAAATATTTTTCAAACTAATTTCTTCTTTTTGTTTCCTTACCAATTTGTTCCTCTTGTTACATTATTTTCATAGTTCAAATCGGTTTCAGCTGGAAGTACTGCATCACGAACAGTTCTGGTAGTGTAATAAATAAAACGGAATTTGTCATAAGCTAGTGTTGTGACGGAAGCAACTGCTGAAGCCAGAAAGGATATATTGGAAGGAGAAATAACCTTTAAAACGATGTGTGTTGATATCCAAATGCTGGAGAAAACTTGATATTTATTATAATTTGTATATATTAGCAATATGAATGATTCGGACCGAATATTAGTTCTTGGCGATTTTAATATGCCATCTGTGAAGTGGCTTTAATTGCCAGAGTCAGAAGCTCTTAATCCTTTGACATCTAATATGAATTTAAATCAATGTACTTCTGAAATTATTAGTCGATTTTGTGACATCATTCTCCAACAAATAAATAATATAGTAAATGATCATGAAAATTCTGAATTTTGAATTAATTAGAATACCTTATAACTTATGTATGTCCATGATACAAGATTATTTAATTTCTGACAATTCGTCACACCCAAGGTTAAGGATAATTTTAATTTTTGATTTTTTATAATTTTTTCTTTTTTAATTTTCGGTCTAAATTGACGTCTATACATTCGGTATATGGGCATTTCCGGAAAAAGGTAAACCAAAGTCGAAGAATTTGTTTCTTTAATTGTGCCTTAATAAGTGAAGTAACGCAAAAATATAAAGAAAGGCTACATTTGTAATTTTTTCTTCTTGTACCATAAATGCTAATTTCAAGACTATAAATGCAGACACTGCCGAAATATTTCTGCAAAATCAAAAATGTCGCTTGAGCTTCGTCGTGTGAGTGATCGAAAAAATCTTTCGCAAATAAAGGATATCCCAAATTTTGAAAGTGCTATAATAATGCTTGATATCTCTTATTCATGTAAAGAATATAAAAAGGTCAAAATATTCACAAAATTAGCAGAGTTTTCCCATTATTAGCAATGGTGTCTAAGGTTTTGTATGTATATTTGGAATCGCGTGAGTGACCGCTCATTTGTGCCTTTTATCTCGAAAGATATTTAACATTTAAAGTTTGATTTTGCCCCTGAAAGTCGTGTAAGTGACTGTGAAAGTGCCCATATATATTCTTTGTACCGATTTTTCTTGTTTTGTTACTTATACTAATATTTGATTGAGAATATTTTTGTCCTTTATACCATCCTTCTCAAACGACATCTAGTGGGAACAATTGGTAACCCTAAAATGAGTTTTCGTTCTTTGCACAATGTGTCTATTCACTTTCAGAAACACGATAACAATGAATAAAATGCATTCGATTGGCACGTGTTGTGGCTGACTTGAACACATATGAATACAAGTTGACAATGTTCGTTGTCATATTCTGAAATTTGACAACGTCCGTGTCACAATCTCAAACAAGACAACGTATCGTGGTAAAATACTAAGAATTGTAAACGCCTGTTGACAAATTGACAACAAGCGCTGTCAAAACCAAAGTGATAACGCATGATGAAAAATCTACAACGAACGGTGTTAATTTCGCCAAGTTTTTTTCTCCTCTGTGTAACCAAAGCGGTGAAGGGTATCATACTGTCGGCCCCATCCGACTTTTGAACATTACTTATTGGTTTATTAATTTACACGCATATGCCCGCTACTCCGTTAGCGAATGTGGGATATATTTCCAAAATTTCCAAAACTTCCTACTTAACCCAAACCTAAACCTCCACAGTGATTTAAATCCAAGTTTCAGGATTACACTTCTATCGGTTCACCCGCAATTCAAATTTACCAAATTTAGTATACAGTAGTACCAGTATCCAAAACCTCCTAATTACCCCAAACCTAAACCCCCACAGTGATCCTAATTCCAAGTTTTAGGATTCCAACTCTGTCGGTTCACCCACAATTCAAATTGTACCAAATTTAGTACACAGTAGTACAAATACTGAAAATTTCTATTTGACATTTTTTATATACAAATGTGTGTTAAGAATAAAAACGCCAATACGCGAAAATGTGTGCATAAAATGTAAATAAAATCAGAGGTCTACACTAAAAACGTTTTATATTGTTTGCTAATATCATAGATTATAGAGACAGGAAACTTCTAAATATTATACTATTAATGAAACATTTTAAATTTATTTTTAGGCTTCTGAGCACAAGAGGAGTCAAAAGGAAATTGGAGACATAGCTGGAGTAGCTGATGTAACAATACGCCAATCGTATAAACTGATGTATCCGGAAGCAGCAAAACTATTTCCAGAAGACTTTAAGTTTGCTACTCCAATTGAACAATTGCCACAAATGTAAACTAAAAATAAAAATGTACTGTATTTGACCTGCAAATAAACATAGATCTTAAAACTATTTCAAAGAAAATACATTGAAAGGAAAGTGTTTATTGAATACTAGCATTCGACGTTCGTTAACCTATTGTATAATATATCTCAAAATGTCTACACATATTATCTAATTTTCACAGAAAATTACATATGTCAGAAATCTATGTATGTATGTATTTAAAAATTACATCCATATCTTAACCCAAGAACTGAACCTAATACTAAAATTTTGAATTCTAAATATAATCGTACGCCCTTTAGTATGTGATGTTATTTTCTTTTGTACTCAAATTTTTGCTTGCTGTCAAATATTTTTTTTTTTTTTTCAAAACCAGCTAATTTTGTGTTTGCCAATGAAAATATTTTATGGTCAGAATATGGCCATGGCATAACTATACAAGGTATTCTCATTTGAGAAATTGATAATGGAATTCATATATAAATTTCAAATAAAATGAAATATTTATTCCATAAAATGTAACTCATGCCAATTGGCAAATTTTAAACAAATTAAAAAAAATTTCTAGAGCTCCACATTGTTCCCAACTAAGAATGTTGCAATTTATATTTATAGGTTTTATAGGCAGGGAGCTTTGAAATAAATTTTGAAAGCTGAATGTTGTTAAAAACAAATGTGTGAAAGAATTAGAAACATATAACTGCATGAGACAAATAAATATTTCACACCTTTCGTCAAATATTTGCTTTAATCATGCTGAAACGTCCATGATTTATCGCAAAAAATTAAATCATCCTGCGACGAGGTTTATTTTAAGTCGGGTTCGAAATCATAATACTAATGAGATGGAACACAGTTTTCGTAAAAAAAAATACAGCGCTCTCACAATGAAACAACATGCCCTTTGTTTTTACATTCAACGATTGCCAAATGCAAAACTGAAAACTGCCAAGGAACATACAAATTATTTACAGATTTATTGTGTTTATAAGTAATTGGTCTGTTGCAGTACTTTTTTAATAGTAAAGCTAGTAAAATGGAAACATTTCAAAATAACTCTCAGAGTACAAAATAATTTGAAAAGTTCGGGAACGCAAATATAGTAAATATACCAAAATTACTTTCCAAGCGACCCCAGCATTGTAGGGACATTTCCATTGTTGTAATGTTTCTTTTGATTTTCAAAATGCAAACAAATATTTTTAGGCAAATTATTAATTTTGTATGTATAATAATAAACATCAGCTGTATATGAATTTCCCCGCAGACATCCCCATTTCGGATTATTGAATGCTATATACCTATTTTTACGATTGTGAGTGAATTTGACTCAAATTCCTAGGAAACGTGGACCTACGTCTATAAATGTTTACATCGATATTTTTACAACAAACTTTGGAAGCCTGCGTCATTTGGGTATTTGGGTAAATACTGAAAATAGGGGTACCATTATATGGGGGCTATCATAAAACGTAGACCAGCGTGTTTACATTTTTGCTTGGATATTTTGTACAAATTGAAAACTCTGTACCAAATTACAGTCAATTACAGATAAAAGTGGATAATAGATTAAAATTACCTTAAATTGGGAAGTACGGTAGTAAAATAGGTGTTCGGCAGTAAAATAGTTTTTACCTAATCTTTGGATAAATAATCGGGTATTTACCCACGTTTTTAAGTATTATAAAATTAAATTTAAATCGATTTGATAACAGAAACCCGGGGTGTATGATGTTGTGTTGGCGATTTAATATAGTAAATACCCACAAATGGTAAATAATATATTAAATACCCACAAATGGGTATTTACGCACTGCCCATTTCTATCCATTCGTGGCTACCTATTTGTTGATTTACATACGCACGTATTGTTACATATTCCACCATCTTCGCTTTGTTTATTTGCCTAGTTGGTCAGTCAGGGGTTTGCAACCATGTATTTCCCTTTTCTGTGTGTCCGTTTTATTCCTCGGTATCCCACCAGTTATAATTACACAGTCCCCCTCTGTTGTATTAGTACGATGACACATATTATATTTTATAGTAAATATAATGTTTCTGTCATGGAACATTTCTTGGATATTTTAATATCCAGTGCATCTTACATACGGTCAGTTGGACTTTTATATAGTGTAGGGTGCATTTAAGCAAATCGTTGCATATAACCAATTCATTGGATTTTAAATTACAAATTAATTGATTTTTAATATATATTTACTAATTGTTGTGAATTTTAATAAAAGCTCCCTACTATGCGTCGTATTTTGGAAATTTGTAGGGTGTATATTTGGCATAATTACATATTCGCTTTTTACAGCGATTTTTATTATAAACCGCTACAATCGATAGCTTTGTTTGTATAATTCTATGCTACAATTAGTAGTTTTTTTTTTAATTTTGGTATATTTTCATATTTAAATATCTCATATTGGACTTTTTGATTTTTTTAATAATCTATCGTGATATTTTATTGATAGCTAGTGGGGTTATATTAAATCTTTAGGTACACAATTCGTTTAAAAATCGAAATCTGTGCATCTTCTACTTCTCGTCCGTCCTCTGATTCTTGTTACGTTATTTGTTCAGAGCAACACAGACTACATCATGGCTATTGGTTTGTAAATTGTACACCTGTCGATAGATATAAATTGATCAAAAGGTATCGTTTGTGTGTAAATTGTGTTCGTAGGGGGCACGAAGTCAAAAATTGTAATAGTCTTCTTGTTGAAAGCGCAATCAAGGACATCACACTCTATTGCACAGAGATAGCTCTATTGTGAGATCTTCGAGTCAGAAGAAATTGAAACTACCAGTTTGTTGCGTCGGTACCTTCGGAAAATGGTGGAGGCGATTGAATGGACCGATATTCCCCATCTTCGAACTTAAACTAAGTTTGGAAGAAATATCAAGATGTTTGGATGAAATTGAGTATTCCTTTCGAGAGTTATCGTGCACACCAGCCAGACAGACGGACAACGGACCGACATGGGTAAATCGACTCTGAAACGGGTTTGGTCCAAGAAAAACATCCAAAGAAACATGGTGTTTAAAAACATTATTTCGATGTGGCACATTTTTCCAAAGAGTTGTTTATAACCTTCTAAAGCTACCGAAGTTTTTTTCAAACACGACCAAAACCTTGAAATATAAAAAATAGAGATTTCTTATACTTATTGTGTGGTATATTTATTTGCTGGTTTTCAAGTGTGAGAAAACAAAATCATAAAGTGATTTTTATTTAATGAATTGTTGATACAGATGAAAAAACCAATCACAAAAAAAGGTTATTAACAAAACGAATTAAAAAAGAATACTGTATCAACATAAGCAAACCAATTGTATTACCAAAAAATCAAATTTTTAGCTGCAAGGAAGAATGAGACAAATTTTTAAATTGTATCGCCTACTGGTTTGAGAGCAAAAAATCAGTAAAAATAATAGTCTTAGTATTTAGCATAAGTTTGTGATTGTCTGGTGTTGTCTTTTTATGTTTTGGTAAACTCTTAATTAATCATTTTGTAAGGATTTTTAACACCATTTTTTTGTTTTTGGGAGGCGTACTCTATACTATACTTATCAAGGATTTAGGGAGAGTGCTAAAATTTACAGCTAAAGCCTGATGTTGACTCGAATCAACCAGATTGAGAGAGCTCACTTGTATTCGTTATTATCCCTAGAGGGATTGATATGGGAAAATAGAGATTTTGGTTCCTCCTAATTATTATATCTGGTGTTAGGAATTTCACTATTAATGTAAGAATACTGTCTTTAATAATTCGAAATCATAAGGAATCTAATATTAAAATGAATTAATTACTATAATAAACATGTTTAATGTCCTGAACGTATAAAAAACAATATGTGGTAATTTATTTTTGAAGAATGGTATTTCCTTAAAAATGATTAAGTGAGTATGGGTGTGTTTGTAGCAGAGAACTTCAACAAGCCACAGACAAACGTAAGCCACTTAGATAAGCACAAGTGTTTTGGGTGTCAAGCCTTTAGTGTGCAAGTATTTTTTTATACTCGAGTATTTTTTCACACCCTACCAACAACAATTGTTTGATTTTACCACCACCGCTAGAATATGAGAGAGTAAAAGGTATACAACACTCACAAGTGATAGTACAAGTGGTAGTGTCAAGTGGCAAATTATACTCAGTTCTTGTTGTGTTGAGTCGTTTGAGTTCATACACCTCTCTCTCGTGGAAGCAAGTATTGTTTATAGTATTGTAAATGCTTCTGTACAATGTTAGGAAAAGAGCTTCCTACATTGTAATTAAAATAAAATTAATGTTTTAAACTAATATTTTTATTGTTCAAAATTATTTATTTAATTTTACCAAAACAAAATCCTAAAAAAATAAAGCAAAAGAAAAAACAAAATAATGGTAAAATGATTGTGCGCAAATCAAAACATTTTCCAGTTAAAATCAAAAACATGCGCATAACGCACCCAAGTGCACAAGCCACTTTTTAGTAAAACAAGTTGTTCCTTCATCTTCGTTCTGATCGTTGTGCTTACGCTCTCGAAAAGCATAAGGCACACGGCTGAGTAACAACAACAAATAACAACACTTAATGTGCAGAGAGCAAGAGAGTAAGAAATGAAATTTACCCGAGTGCGCAAAAAAAACACGACAAAACATACCCGAGTGTCGATGAATCAATGAATTTGTTGTTCAAGTGGCAAAACATAATTGTACTCACAATTAGCAAGTGGCGCATAAGTATCAAAATAAGCCACTTGTTGTTATTCTCTGGTTTGTAGGAATTTCAAAATTGTAATGAAAAAAGGAATTTTAAAACTATGGTTGGGTGGGCAAATGTTCAAGCAATATGTCTTATTTTGTATTTTATAAAGATCATGTTCGTTCTCAGGTGTTGGGTTGTGGTTGGTTTAGCAACTGACCCAGAGACCACAGGTTACCGGATGATCCCTCTTAACGCCGCCTCAAAGGGTCAAGTAACAGATGGCGCTCAAACCAATGCCAATAACACAGTGATTAACAAT